AGGGGTAGATAGTAGAGGGTGGGTGGGAAGGGCAAAGGGAAGAAACATTTAACAGACAAAAGAATGTAAAGTTCTCTGTTTAAAAATATCTGTAATTTTTGATTTGTAAAAATAAAAAAAATTAAAAATTAAGTATATTATATGGTTATGGTCCAGTGACTTTAGATCACTCATTCTCATGTGATTATTCCCATTCCTGGTAGAGTTGGAGAAGAATTAAATTGGTTATGTAGGGTGAGCATTTTGTGCAATCTTCCAAATCCATCTGCAATATTCTTTTAAAAAATTAAAAAGTAGAATACTGGAATGGGAAAGATAGACTTTACATGATCATTTTCTGCTTCCAGGCAAGTTTACCTGCATCGAGGTCAAGTTTCATCTGGAACGCCAGATGGGATATTATTTGATCCAGATGTACATCCCCAGTCTGTTGATAGTTATTTTATCCTGGGTCTCCTTTTGGATAAATATGGATGCAGCCCCTGCCAGGGTAGCACTGGGCATCACCACAGTCTTAACAATGACCACTCAGAGTTCAGGTTCCAGAGCGTCTCTGCCAAAGGTAAGAAATCCCTTCTCCTGACAAGAAATGACCCGAGAGGTTTACCAAAGGTCCATGGGCTGGAGAGTTCTGTGAAGGCACAAATACTTACTTGCCTTCCCATGGCACTGTTGGAAAAGCCAAGGCAGTAATAGAACGAAACAATGAGTTTGAGAGAATTAGGATGCAGGGAACCCTCAAAATCATATCTGCAAGGAGAAAGCTGAATTGAGATTGAGAGAGAAGAGGCATTGAGTAGAGGCAGAAACACAGGTCAGGAATCTTAAGAAGCCCCTGAGTGCTTTTGATCTTGGTTGTTTATGAACCATGAAGCTTGCAGAAATGGAATAAAATTGATACAATTTAGGCTGTATTGTAAAATATTTATTGGTGAGGCTATTGTGATTCATATGGTCAGTGAAGTCATTTACAGTAATAAAAGTTTAAATTAGGCTCCTGGAAATGTACACAGAAAAGCTATATCAATGTGCATGCATAAGAAATAAATATGTAAGAATAAAGGTGCAACAAATCAGATACATGAATCTCTGCTATGCCATAATTTCCCTTAAAGGCTGATATGGTACTATTTTCAAGTGACAGTTACCTAGAGAAGTAACAGTGGAGTCACACAGGATGGTGAAAATTTCAAGAACTGTGGCAGGTTCACAGAGTAGCGTGAGGTGGCTATCAAGGACATGTAGCATTTTTTTTAATTTTTTAGCACCTTGAATAATAGTCCATAAGTGACTGTGTAATCTATTTTTATGTAAGGTCCCCTGTGTTTGTTGTAATATTTACTTAAGCAAATAAACATAAATGTGCTGCTTGTGAAATGCCTCAGCACCCTAGAAGCGTGCCTATGTGGGCTGCTCCCTGACACCAAACACATTGAGCCATTGGCTTCAGTTTTCCAGGAGTGTGAGTTCAATTTAGTATTCAGTATATACACTCTCATCCTGGTTGAGCAGTCTCTCCAAAACCCAGCTCCAGGAAAATAATTGAGATGTAATCCTCTATCTGTGCTGGCTTGAGCTTATGTTTGGTTGTACTGCATCTGACATGATGAGAAATGTTAGATCATGTTGCACATTATCTCCTGTGTTTGGAAGATAAGATGACACATGGAGGAGTCTGTGGCTGTAATGGATGTGGACTGAATACTGGGGAAATAGTCATACCACTTATTAAGTCCCAGGCTTCCAAAGATAAATGCTAGGTTTTGTATGCTCATAGGGAAAAGAACAGAGCTATTTCTGATACTTTTTCTTTGATCATTCAAAAGAAAAATTTTTATATGGACGGGGTCTTCAAAAAATTCATGGAAAATGCATATTCTGAAAAACTATGCATGGGTTACAATTTTTTTTCATAAAATAAACATAGTTTTCCATAAACTTTCAAACTCCCCTCAAGTAATGTACCTGTGTCAGATTTCCGTTGGAATACAGATGTCAGAAATATTAAGAACTTTTTTCAGCTACACAATCAACACATCAATTTTACCTAAATTTAACAGGAATTCTAATCCACTCTGTGCCCACTCTTAAACAGGTTCATTTGCTTATTGCTGGTTAGTTATTAGTTATTACCATCACTGCATGCCATGTCTTTAAATCTCAGGATGCATAAACATGTATTTTACAATTTAATAGACAGCTAAAGTATTGGTGACAAATTGTGGGCAGATAATGTCAAAACATAAGACATTTAGCCTCTAACTGCTCAGTGCTATGAAAAGACTAGTCATTTATTTTCAAAATGGGAGCTTAAGTTTTAAAAAATGTGTTATTCATTCTAAGAAGCTATTCGGATTCTACTTCAATGGTCAAAATTATTGCTAAATAAATGGCCACTGATTAGTGATTTGCATGTAGAGGCAAGCAGGAACTCAAATACACCAAAAGAGGGTATAATCAAAAATCATATTTGGTTCTGAACTCACAATGGTTATCCTTTTGCCACCAGCAGGCTTATCTTCCTGCATGTACTTTTCTTAGGTTATTATTAAATGAGGCTGGCTCTCAACTGACCGTAAGAAAATATGACTCATGTGGATGGTGGTGAGAAACCAATATGGGATGAAAAGTGTGTCATGCAAAATAAGCAACTGACTATACACGGCCAACATACACACACACACACATAGAAATACTCATTTTTTTTTTGAGAGGTTTTTGCTATAGGGTGCGTGCGCTCGCCAGACAGAGAGAGACAGAGAGATAGAAAGCGAGAAATCACCCCTGAGGGGGGATGGCCACGCTGCAATCCTTTCTCCTCCATTCTCCTCTCGGGATCTTGGGCACGCATGCACATGCACCCGGCGTGAGTTTAAGCCACCGGGTCCGGGACTCGAACTGCAGTCGACTACGTGGGAGTCCAGCGACATAGCCATTATGCTAACTGCTGGTCCCTCAATTTATAAACACTGTAATTCCTGACCAGATGCTCCACTGTGCTGATTGTACAGCTGCTCCAGGGCCTACTGCAACACAGTGTCCAGAGAGCATACATGCACACTGTAATTTAAAAATAAGACATACTGGGATCAACAGTTGGCGTAAAGGCTATGTCGCTGGACTCCCATGTAGTCAACCGCGGTTTGAGTCCTGGACCCAGTGGCTTAAACTCATGCCAGGCACGTGTGCGTGCATGCCCAGGATCCCAAGAGGAGAATGGAGGAGAAGGGATTGTGGCGTGGCCATCTCCCCGGGGGGTGATTTATCGCTTTCTGTCTCTCTGTATCTCTCTGTCTCTCTGATAAGCTCACGTGCCCTATAACAAAAAAAATAAGATGTACTTATTATAGAAAAGATAGGAAACATGGTTAATTTTAACCATCCAGTAAAACAATGTTGGTAAGACTTTGATATATTTCTTTCAAGTCTTTTTCCTATGTGCATTCATGGGTAAGCCCACAGAAAATTGAGGTCAAACATTCATATAGTTCTACACTATGTACCATTCCTAATGGCACTACATATCTATTATGAGCCTAATTTTTAAGCACTTAATATTAGTCTATTTGATATATTCATCATTTATTTTACCATCTTGGATAGTTAGGGTTTTCTGTTTTTGCAAGTATGATACTTATGTTTATGTATGAACATTTGTGTCTGTGTTCCACAAAACATATGTATAACTTTTTAAAAGATGCGTATCTTTAAAATTTAGAAAAACTGTGTCTACCAGATGGCATAATGGTTATGTCACTGGACTTTCACCTGGCTGACTGCAGTTTGAGTCCCAGGCCTGGAGGCTTGAACTGGGCAGGGGCTTGTGGGTGTGTGCCCAAAATTCCTAGAGGGAAATGGAGGAGAAGAGACTGTGGCATGGTCATCCTCTCTGGGGAGGTGATTTCTTGCTTTATGTCTCTCTGTCTCTCTGGTGAGTGCACACACCCAATAGCAAAAATCTCTCTAAAAAATTAGAAAAATTAATTTAAATGTCTTAGAAACTTTAAAATTTTCAGTAATAAGAAGGAAGAAATTGGGGATGATTAGAGTGAATATGGGAAGATGCTCAATGGGATGAATGTTATATATAGAGAGGAAACTTGTTCATTTTTGTAACTTCAGTTACTTAAACTAGATGACCAACAGATCCTCATTGGGGACCAGTGGATGGCATAATGATTACATCACTGGACTCTAATGTAGTTAATTGTGGTTTGAGTCCTGGGGTCAGTGGCTTAAAATTCATGTCGGGCGTGTGTGTGTACATGCCCAAAATGCAGAGAGGAGAATGGAGTGATGTGGCCCCGTTATTTCTTGCTTTCTGTCTCTATCTCCGGTGAGCACACATGCCCTATAGCAAAAATGTCTAAGAAAAAAAGAGATCTTCATTGAATGGATAAATTGACAGTCATGTTCCTCCATGTGAGACTATATAAAAGAGTAGACTAGAAAGAAGAATATATGGATAAAAGTCTCAAGGAAATATATTATAGTTGACTTGATTCCAAGATGACTCACATTTGGTTATCTTCATATTAAATGTTTATTTGGCCTACTAAGAACTCATGCATTCTTGTGTTGCTAATGGTGGAAATGCAACTTAACCAACTGCTTACCCTTCTGGTTTCACCACTCTGTCTTGGATATTCCAACTAACCTACTGCCTTCATAATTTATCCATGCAAGAAACAGGTATTGGTATTCATGTCTTGATACAAATCCAAACTACTGAGCACACATGAGAGGTTCTCCTAGAAACTCTTCTATTCTCTGATCCAGAGGCAATGTTTTTTGAATTTTGGTGCCTCAGCAAATATAATAACATGTGGAGATGCAAGTCTTTTCTCTTATAGGAATAGGGGTGAACCACCTTCTCCCATCTTTAAGAGGGTAGGGAAGATGTCACTATGGATAGCACTGTTGCTCTCCACAAATTCTATTACTTCAATTAATTCTTTGCAACTGTCTAGTTTTGGGTGACCAAGCAGTTGCATATGAGTGTCACAGCTGGACCCACATGGGAAATGTTCTGGGTTCACATCCTAGGCCATCCCTGAGTATGCAGGACACATATGTGTGCCACTGATCCAAGCCAGCTGAGACTGGGGGTAGATCACAGCATGGGGACCCTGTCAGGGCACATATGCACACTTGTGCTCTCTCACTATGAAGAAATAAAGACACTTTTTAAAAGCCTAGCTTTCTATAAAAAACAGACAGTATTGGATATAATGGTCTCTAGAGAGCATTTTCTCACTTTTAGAAAGCCCTGCATCTTACATGTATGTGTATAGAATCTCCCTTTAGAGTAAGGCATTAGTAGAAATTCTGATGCAACAGGAATATCCCAGTTCCATACTATCATTACACTTATAAATAAACATTCTTAATTTTAGATTTTATCCCTATGAGATCAAGGACTTCGTTTTTTCCCATGTTTATATATCTACCAGTTAGCACAACACCTGATTGACAGTAGGTACTCAGCAAAGAGTAAGTGAATGAATGGATGAACAGTAGTGAAAATATATGTAGTTAAGTGGTATTCCCAGTGTAATTTAA